TCATAATAGCCATCACCGTATATTTTCCTATAAAAATAATAGACTTTACTCCTCTTTAGCATTTTGCATAAATTATTTTTAATTTCGAATACGTTTTAGTGTCCTTATACAATTTTTGATTACTTTTTCATGGTCTTGTTACGTTCTTCCCAACTTTTGAAGTGTTATGAAAGGATTCAGCTTTAAAGTAAGATTTCTGAATAAGTTAAGAGTTCAATTTTCAGAATTAAATGTGCCAACAAGGAAATGTTATTCAAAATTGAGAAAAATATAATGAAACAATAAAAGAAATAATCAGCATTTAAAATTAAATATAATATAAGAAAATAAATCTGAAAAGTTTCAGATTTTTAAATTACGTCCAAAGGGCCATTTTTTAACATTTTGTGTGTTACCTTTATTTATTAAATATCATGTTCTTCTCAAACCATAAAATTCAGTTCAATAGCAAGAGCAATATCCCAAAATAATTTTTAAATGAGCCTATCCTTTAGAATTTTCGATAGATAAGTCTCACGCCCTGCAGGTAATTTTTTTTTCCTGTGTACAACGTTGTCATTGCTCTCTTTAAAATCCTTGAGCTTGTTAATCAAAAATTCGTGAAACTTTTACAAATATGAAATCGATAAGAAAACAAATTTCAAATTTCAAATTTGGGTTTCCGGATGCCCATATTCGCAGATAGTTTACGTTATTCAAAATTTGATGGCTTTAGGAACCGTTGTTTTACCACAGTGCGATAAACATATCTACATTTATACAGATTCTTCATTATTTGATTTCTTTAAATATAATACAGGGCTCTAATATTTGGTGACAACAATTTGAAAAGCGAAGCAACTTGAAAGCTGTAGTGAATCAACGCAAAATGTCAAAATGAAATTAACAGTCCTTCTGGGCAGATTGCCTCATATAAAGAAATGTAAAAATCAGAACACTGAAATCGATTGTAGAGTCATTATCATTTGTAAATTGCAGTTTAACACTTGAGAGAATTTTAAGCTAAGCTACCTGAAGAAATTTACTTACTGTAGTTTATTATTTACTGTAGTCTATTATTTACTGTAGTCTGTTACCTCAAAATAGCTACTTCAAGTTGGTTTTTCTCTCCCTTACTTTGCATTTCATTATCACTGCAAATGAAGTAGGAAAAAAACAATAAGAGGACTAGGTCAACTAGTGTAAGTACCGTTACCATGGTTACGAGGCAAGCTGGATAAAATGTGGGATAAAATGACACTGAAATGCTTATTCCGAAGTAATAAACTATAATGTTAAAATAAATGCCTAGAAATTCAAGATGCAGAACATAAAATCTTGTAATTAAAACGATCTGGTGATAATGGCAATGACAGGTAGTGGACTAAAAACTTTAGTTGGACGTATTCCTGCAAAACTAATAGAAAGAAACTATACAATGTCCAAAAGGTGCTTTCAGGAAACGCTCTTACTCCCCCAGGTCTATTAGAAAAAGAGGATTAATGAGAAACTAAGAAGTATCCAAATCAAGATACATTATTAACACATAACAATAAAATTCTATGACAATAAATGGAAAATTAATAACTCTGAAATTATGATGTTCAGCAATGATTATAATAAATCAAGCAGCAACAAATGATTTATGACTATTTTAAATTCCGAGACTGCTCTTTTCTCCAGCAAAGGTTTTGTAGAAATATTAGGCATTTTTGGAAGCAGGCAAGATGAAAAATAAGCAAACGCCTTCGCAGGGAATCGAACCACGGACTTCTGGAATACCGGCCCAGCGTGCAGAACCACTACACCACGAAGGTACGCTAGGAAAGCGGGAGATATACCTAATATACTTCCCTTTTTAAAGAGCGACTGGGGTTTTTAGGGGACCCAATCGCCAATACCTGGGTGTGGAGAATACTCATCCAACATCCTTTTAGTTTGAGCGCCACTGTAGAGACATTAAGTATATTTTTGGAAGCCTTAGAGATGAAAAATTAGCAATGCCTTCGCTTTGAATCGAACCACGGACCTCTGGATACCGGCCCAGCGTGCATAACCACTACACGATAAAGGCATGCTAGGAAAGCGGGAGAAATACCTTACAGTTTATTTAATTTGCCTTTATCTAGTATAGTACATAGACGTTACATGTAATATATTTCTCTCTCTCTGTATATATACCTATATGATTCTTATTTACATGCTTATTGTATAGCACTTACCTATATTTTGTTCATCACCAGTTCGACAACATATCTACCTCGAAATTATTACCTTATTATCGCTTTTGTGCTGTCTACATGATTTTTCTTCGACGGATTCTTATCCTCCTTAATTTATTGTCTTGAAACCATTCGAAAGTTTAAATTTATTCGGTTTCAGGTAGGACCTCAAAATCCCTGCATCAGGTGTCTAACATTATTCTATATTAAAAAGCTAAACATGTTTTGTTTATTTGCGTCATAGTAATGCTATTTAGAGTAATGTGCACTTAACAACGAAAGGCTTCATAATCAAGGTGCAGATGTTACTTACTTTTCGTTACATCATTTGTGATGAGTAATTATTTCTCCCATTCGAAATTGCAATCCTTCTTATTGCTTCTCCATGTTAACATTTTAATTGCGTGTGTTTTTGTTCAGCTATATAATATTGAATCTTCTTTAAATTCTCAATTTTGCTAGTGATGGTTCAATGAACGCTTTTAACAAGTTCATAATTATCGTTATAAGCATTAAAAATTCAGCTTTTTATACTAAACCGTAAAATTACACATTTAGCTCTCATAATGTGAAATACATTGATAATAAATCTCCCATATCGTAAAAAATAAAGTTGCTAAATGCAAAAATGACATTGCGGTTTCGCTGTTTATTGTTTCTAATCCTTCTGATCTTAACTTGGTTCCAGGTCATATCCATGTATTTTATAACTGCCAACAGGAAAAGAATAATTTGATTAAGTCCTTGAGACATTATAGGTTACATTAAGACTTTGTCCAGCTTCAGATCAGTTTGATGAAGATCATCCCGGGGGAAACACTTAAGGATCTTCTAACATCATTCTCTCGAAAGAACTTGAAATTTAAAATGTGTGAAATTTAAAATCAAAGTTTTTTATACAAAATGAAGTAATGCTTCTGAGGAAAAAAAATCTACAGTTAAAAAATTGTCGATAAATTAGGAAAAAAACATCAATTAGAGAAAAACATACGTGTATGCAAAATATATGAAATAAATAAACGGAACTTCTCTCAGTTAAAAAAACATAAAATTCATTTATTAAGTTTATGTTGTGTGATCTTATTTATTATAAGTAATGTTTCCTCCTTTTAACATATTTCATCTATGTGTGATAATAAACCGAAAAGTTTTCATATTAAAGATAATTTTCGAACTAAGAGTAATATAATAAATCCACATAAGTTAGAACTCATACATAATATCTAATTTATGTATCCTTAAAAGTAACTAAAAGTTGGTTAGCATAATTAATTTCCTTTTTATATGTAATAACAGCTTAAATGCCACATTTGCAACCTATTCTATGGAAATCAGAATCCCTTGTTTTCACTCATGTTCGAAAGTGTTAAAATTTTAAACTAAAAATCTACTTATAAAATTTTTCTTTTCGTAAATCACGAGGAAAAACAACATGCCATTTAAAAAATTTCTCGACATCATCCATGAAACAGATTTTATTCAAAGCAAAATGGCAATACTACGGATATTTTAAATTAATTTGAAATATACTTTGATAAAATAATTTTTGGAATTTGCTGCAGCTATGAAATACGTATACATGAGTAAATTAAACTGGTTAGGTTTATATAAATAATGTGAGTGCATATTTTTAAGAATCTGATTTAATAATATCAAAATAAAACATAGGAAAACATTACACCTGTTAGCATATATTAAAAAAATCTCTTAAAATTAAATTATCCGTTCTCTGTGAAAACTTAAGAGATAGTCATAAATATTCTAACTTCTTGCACATTTTTATTTTGGTCTTATAATTAACTTTATTTATAGTGAAACTTTTCTTTATTAAAAAATTAAAACTGGCTGGAATAATCTCTATATATTAGCAAATTCCTACTTTTTTCTTTTACTATTACACTAGCATTCTACCAAAAACTTAATCTTAAATTAACCGCATGAATTAAAGTACATTAAACGTATGAATATGTTTAATTTATTCAAAAATATTATAAATATTCCAGCAATTTAATAATTTTATAAAAAGTGTCTTCAGGTAATAAAATAATAAAGCTTTCGGTAATGATATAACTTTGAAAACACTTTTCAAAATAATAATTTTTCCCCTCAATATGGTAATAATTTCATTTTTTTTTCATGTTAATTAAAACGACTGGTTTTCTTCCTTTGTGCGATGCTAGTTGCTTGCAAATGTTTTTTTATGTAAACAGCATTCGAAACAAATTACAAATCTTCTATAAGGCTGCCTACATAAAACAATATATATTTTCTGTTAAATTTAACTACTTATATACGTCAATTATAATTATTCAAAAGGAAAAACGTTTAATTTATTTTATCAAAGTATATTTTCGATTCGCATTGTGCTATTGACGTGATTCTATCAAATGCAATTCAAACCATTATAACGTCTTATGAATTTTGATTTATTTATTCTGCATTTAATAATTGTATACATTTAAAATATTGTTCATGTTTTCGAGATTCATTATGAAATAAAAAGTCATTAATTATGATTAGTCTGGAATTTTAATAACTGACAAAGACATAATAATAAATAATGCATGTTTTATTTTCAGATTGCTAAAAAATTTTCTCTAAAGATCACATTCTATTTTAAAACTACTGATTTTTACAAAATCTGTATGTGCTATTACTTTCAGAAAATTTAAAGTTAAGTTTAAATTTATGTCACCGAACAATTTCAAGATGGACAAAAACTTGAAAATATGTCAATTTTGGGTCTGGAATTTTCCCTCAGTTTTCATTTTTCCTTCTTTTTGATAGACTGTAGTGGCTTCAGACTTCAGCAGGAGGAGCGGCCTTACGACGACGACGTCTAGAACTCCTTCCCGATTTCCTTCGTCCAGAAGATCTTCTTCGACGAGATCTTCCCTTTTTAGGCGATGAACTCCTCCTTCTACGTCTACGACTTTTCGGAGCCCCTGCCGATTTGCCCCTTCTGCGTCTGCTGGAACTTCTGCGACGTCTTCCTCTCTCCATGACTTTGTAATGCCCATCCAGTTTAGATAAAATGCCACGATCTACGGCACTCTTCAGAAATAATTTGATTTCAGCATCATTGGATTTGACATCCATCTTCTGATTTTTATGTAAGTAAGTCTTGACATCCCGAAGGGTGGCGCCTTTTCTGCCTTGAAGTTTGCGGATGGCATTCAGAAGCAGACGTCTAAGTCCTGTTTGAGGTTGGACATTCTTCTTCATACCCATTCCTGAAAATCCTTTCTTGGCTTCTTTAAGAGAGTTGTTAACTTTACTTTTGCTCATATTCATCATTTAAATAAGGAAGTAATATTTATTTTAAATTACTGGATGCATTAATTAAATCGTTGATGTACTGAGAGAAAATTCGGGTAAAAGTTTGAAATCGGCGATTGAAATGATTAGAAAATTTTCATACGAACGCGACAGAGATCTCGAAAATGAAATACGTGCATGGTTTGAGGTTTAGCAAGGAATATTTGATAGATAATATTTAATACACGAGCTTTTGATTAATGAAATAAGAAAATATTTTAAACCACGAGATATATTTAATCAAAAATTATTATTATTTCTAACTTTAAAAGTTTGATTTTAATGTTGGCAGAAGTATCATATTTAATAAACTAAGCAGTCTGGTAAATTATATTGGAGAATAACATCTTTTAAAAAGCTAGTGATTTCAAATTATGTTGAAATATTTGGGCAGCCGATTTAAATATGTGAAGTTTTGGCGATATCTTAAATTCGACCATTTTTAAATTAGATTATAAAGCTTCCCTGTTTTGACTGCTAAGTGACGGGCCGCTTTACTAAGGATGTGAGATAGTTTTTTATTGGTAATGTATTTAATTTTCTAACACCTTGCAATTTCTTTTTTATACGGCTTGAAAGAGCAACATTAAAAATGTAGCTGTAAAATCATTCCGTAAAATTCCGTATCATTCCGTAATGCCGTAAAATCCCGCATGTAACTCAAATGATCTTACGGCTACGAATGGAACTTGTACAAGACCTTTATTTTGCCATGCTAGACATATCTTCAAAATACTAAATTCGCTTTTCTACAAAAAATAATTCAACAAAGAACATAAGAAATACGACATAAAGTGAGTCAGGGAAGAGTTAGTATTACAAATTTTTAGTTATATGTAGAACGAATTAATAACATGTGTGGTTATATAAATGTTAAAAATATGCATGATAGTTTCATTAAACAGTCTTTTTTAAGATTAAACAAAGCAAAGGTTTAAATTGAACAACTGGGACCTTCCTTATCACAGCGGCCTCCAAAATTTAATCGCTAATCAACCGTGATGTAGCATATAAAAGAGGTATAAAATATGTGGTGACATTTCAGCCAAATACCTCGATTTAATCTTGGGGGAAGCTATAATAGGGGAATACCATTAATGTTTGATTAGTTAAACTTGTAAACTTAAAAAAATACATATTCACTAGAAGAAGTAGATTTTACTTAAGAATTGAAACCAGAAATCCCTTCAGTTTTGCACAAATGTTATCGCTCACCTTTTATGAATATTTATTGATTATATGACCTACCAGCGGCTGGGCTTCAAAACTACTAAACCTTGATAATTCGATTCGGATTCAAATTACGGCAAACGAGATGGCTGCATGTCGGTTTTCCGGATTTTTTGCATTTATAACATGAATACGAGCTATTTTACTTTGAAGAGTTTTCCGCAAATTCATCCTTCCGTGTAGGTAAATAACTTTCGAATGATTTACTATAATCTAAATAATGATAAACCTGAACTATAAAAATAGTTGAGAAGTAATAAATACATTTCGTAAGTTGAATTTAGGAAATACTAATATTTAAAACAAAATGATCTAAAGATCTAAACATGTTTTAGATATCTATATCTAAAAGAAAATGGGTTTCCGAAAGGGAGACTTAAGAAATAAATATAATAAAATCTAATAACAAGGAGATCTAAAAGTCAAAGATCTATATAAGTATCATATGAAATATAATCGAATCGAAATAAAAGTCAAAGATCTATATAAGTATTATATGAAATATAATCGAATCGAAATAAAAGTCAAAGATCTATATAAGTATCACATGAAATACAATCGAATCGAAGTGAATAGGAAAAGAGAGTTGAAAATAAGGTTGTGTTATCAAACATTTAAACAGTGATACGCCTATATATTCATTAAGTAGAAAGGGGGATCACATGTAGAATGTAGTAAAATAGGATCACCCGCCACTAATGGACTTTGAGACAGTTTAAATGGGCTGTGAAAAAAATTGAAATTTTTTTGGTTATATAATTGTATATATTTATTTTAAATTAATAATCGGTTTAGTTAATTGCTAATGAATACGCAATTTTCTGTAATATTAGTTAGTTAAAAGATTATTTTCTCTGTTTGTATGATTTTTAATTTAATATCCCTCTATTTTGAAAGATATTATGTGCATGTGCGTTACGGTAACTTGTAAATACTTATGGATGCAATATTAAAAGTTTGGAATCGCTAATGCACTAAAATCTCAAAGAATGTTTAAGCCAAAAACACAAGTAATGCCATGGCTCCCTTCTGTACCTTAGGGTTATGTGGATTTGCTTTTTATTCCAGCTAATGGCCGCCTATTACGTTTTCATGCGTAAAAACGTATCAGCATTAATTTATTGTCTGTTCTTCCAGTTTAAATAACTGTCCGCCAGCAAGGTCATATACTGGGTGTTAATAACAAATTCCACAATATATGAATACTTAGCGGCCAATCTGCTCAACCAAGTGAAATGAAATTTCAGTTATCATTATTTGATAGTACATACCCTAGAAAAATAGAGCTTTCACGAATACCGCTACAGTGTAAAAATTCGAAAATTTTTGAATGTCAACACTCACCTTTTTTCCTGCGCAAATTGATCAGTGCATTGAAATATGGGCGCATAAATGGTGTTGTGAAAGATACGCGTAATGCATTTGCAAAGAGCCTTGTAACGGACCAATGACAACACAAACTTGAAGTTCATTAACGCACTTCGTATAATTCACGGGGATGGGCACTAAAAGCACCAATTACAGAACACCACGCTGCTCATTGCTTGTGGAAACTTTTAACAAGCAGTATGAAAAGATTGCTTCTTTAGTATACATAGCTCTGCCTTATCTTACCGTAAAATGTTTTTTGTATTTATATTTTTCACTGTACGCACCCATAAATTGTATTTGCACCACAAGACAAGGATATGCCATCTCAAATTTAGGAAATGCACACCGAAGATTATATGCCATTGCTTAGGCTTGTAATGTCTCGCGATATTCTTCTATTACCCTTCATTCCTTCTCTCTTCGAAAACCGTGGTTCAGGACTCACTGCGCCTTCGCGGCAATATCCCATATCGGCCGGAACAAGTCGTGCCATCTGTACAATATTAACGATCTGTACGATACTAATCAGTGTAACTTAGAACATTTGTTTCTTCAGTAGAGGTGTTCAAACGTGCTCACATGATGACACGTAACACTTAAATAAGGATACTAAAGGGACATTTTTGTGTTCTGCTCATATATTTAAACTTCAAATTATCAAATGTATTTAAAATAGTCTATGAAAGTTAGACGAGTAAATTTTAATAGTTGATATTTGTGTAAATATATCATTTATTCATATTATGAAATCAGTTAATATTACTTTTTACCCTTCCGGAAAATATTTAAATTAATTATCTTATTAAATTTATTATTAGAAATAAATTTAAATATTTTAATAATAAATATTACTAAAATAAATATTAATATTTATTAGATTGTAAAAATAATATTAATAACTACTAAAATAAATATTAATATTATTATTTATTTATAAATGATAATAGTTGTTACGTTATTTTCTGCCTTCAGGTTCGTACGGGGTTCGTAGATTCGGAGTGAATAACGACGACACTTGATGAAGTACCGAAACACACTTTATTTACCAATATTAATCAGGACAGCTCCAAAACACTTTTACAATCGTCGAAGTTCTACTATACACTCGCTGGAACAATCAGAGACACAGCCTTCAGGCTATCAGGCTATCACGGTGAAGACAGCTTCACTGCAAAGCACCAGAATACAGCTCTCGACTCTGCTCGGTCGTTCTCGGAACTCCACATACTCTCGAGACTCTCCACGCTACAACTCGCGATGCACTCTACGACACACAGAGCACGACTCTCGACTCTTCGGTTCAGTCGTTCCCGGAGCTCAACACGCTCTCTCGACGATGCACTAACCGCGATACACTAAGGGACTCTTCGGTGCACTCGGCACTTGCTGCCCGGCTGTCAACTCGATCGACTCGCTAGACGAGACACTAACTCGATACTAACTCACTCTCCGCGTACCAGCATGGTTTATATAGCTTTTGAGTGGTGTTCGAGAACATTCTGCGCTAAACCGGTAAGAATTCGTTCCATAAGGTTCTCCATCCGTCCATGGCATATCGCTAGTTTTGTAGCCAATTGGTCAATTTCTCTCCAAATGTGGTAACCCGGTCTTCTCTTGCCATTTTATGGCAATCCTAAAACTGCTTTGCGGGGAAGCTATCTCACCGCGCCTGTACATTTTGTAACAATATTTATTAGAAAATAAATTTAAATATTTTAATAATAATTGCTTAGCATTGTTAATTTATTTAAGGTTAATATTATAATCCTTGTATATTTTGTATGAAGCTAGATGGGTTATTTCTTTAAACTTGAAAATAACGTCTGTTAAAAAAATATACTGCATAAAACTATGCGCATAAAAGAAGAAAGTTGTGTTTCTCAAAATTATAAGAACATTCAGTAATTAATAACAATTACAATTCACAAATGAAAACAGATTTCATGTTTCAAATCGTATGACATTCGTAAAATTTTAAAAATGGCATAGCAGAGATATTTATCTATGGATTTATCTATGTCCATGTAACTTTCGAATTAGTTCAGAAAAATGACAAAGAAAGAAAAACTAGCTTTGTAATTTACACGAATTATAGATAAAAGTATCCTAACTATCGATAATGCGAAAATAAGTTTTCTAATCAATTGGAATATTAAAAATTAAAACATTCCTCTAATACTGTAATAGATTCAATTTGAACTTACAAACCGATTTTTGAGAATACGTTTGAACAATACAATTTAAAAAAAAAAAAAAAATGCCCCAGAACCCTCAAACTCTCATATATCCTGTTTCCTTTACTGTTGCCTTTTTGGTTTCATGGTTCAAGAAAAAAATCAGTATAACGCAGTTTTCTTATCGTATGACAC